GACGACAGGTGATACAGGTGGCTATAATATTCGATTCTGGGAGCTTATGTCTCATCTCATATTCTACACTTGTTTTTGAATGTAATATGAGATTTGAAGCATTCCGTTTTTTATTGGTCGTATTAGTGTCAAAACATTTAACCGCTACTATGTCCCTCTTTTATCACATTTATCGTTCATGTCGTCTCGTTGTTCATTGAGTTACTCGAGCGATACTCGTCACTTTTTTTACGTTACCTTCTCCTCTTCTTGATGGTGAAACTGTGAAGACGAAAATAGAGTGCTCAAATTAAAAGGACAGAAGACAGAAGAACATTTTAGTGCAATAGAGAAGCTGTTGCATATCAGCAATGCAATAGGAAAATCCATGCTGCTCTCGCATTGATGTTAAAAGTTTGGACCCTGCGTTAACTTGTTCCGATCGATCCGATCCAATCAATTCAATAATTACTGCATTTTTATAAATCATCTTGAAGGTTATTTGACTGAATTATTGTATTCAGAGTATACCTCTGCTTCGTAAAAGAGCCGACAAGAACCAAACGAGGTTACAGTGGAATTGATTTCTCAACTGCTTGTAAGGACTCTCTTCGTTTTCTGACTATGGAACAGATGGTGTATCATTTCAAAGGCGGACAAGCAAGTGAGTAGAATCACTTTCAATCAAAAGTCACCTTCACTGTTACCATGGAAAAAAAACCTGATCTATCGAGACTGGCTCTGCAAACTAGGGTACCAGAGAAAAAATCTAAAATTCACGATAAATACAAATAATTTCTTTGAAAAAGTGGTGGTGTACATCAGCCTACGTGTTGTCGTCGGTACACCAACTTTGTTTAAAGCAACAGTCCCAGCAGGGTGGGCGTGGTCGGAAACGACTGCAATCCCTCGGCCGATTCCGACCACGCCCACTTCAGCTCCCTCCCTAGCGGCTTTCCAAGGTGAGTTTTTGTTCAGTCACACTTCTTACGTTCTTGACTAGGGGCTGAACAGCTCCGAAGTGGGAATCGGCCGAGGGGATTGCAGCCGTTTCCGACCACGCCCACCCTGCTGGGACTGTTGCTTTAACGGCAACGGCCGGAACTTCTTTTCACCTGGGAATGCTTAAAGCACCAGTCCCAGCAGGGTTTTCACCCTCGAAATTGACTGCGTAGAACATTGCGCTAGCTCTATTCAAGAGCATAGGAAGTGTGTTGAACAAAAAACTCACCTTGGAAAGCCGCTGGAAAGGAGCTGAACGGCTTCGAAGTGGGCGTGGTTGGAAGTCGGCCGAGGGGATTGCAGCCGACTGAGCAACCACGCCCACTTCGAAGCCGTTCAGCTCCCTTTCTAGCGGCTTTCCAAGGTGAGTTTTTTGTTCAGTCACACTTCTTATGTTCTTGACTAGGGCTAGCGCATCGTTCCACACCATTAGTGTCGAAGGTAAAAACCCTGCTGGGACTGTTGCTTTAACGCCTACGCTCTGCTCAGCTTCACTAGTAAAAGGCGCGGTCCGGCATTAGGCACGCTCTCCTGTTTCATGTCCGATCGTAGTAGTCTGGCGAACAAGCGTTGATGTCGAAAGGCTTGGAAGTGCGGCTTGAAAGTGCGCAACAGAGGCGCTAGGAGCTCGCTCGACCCGTAGTCCACACCTTCGTCCACCAACCCGGCCTTCCGCTGTCGGCTGCCGTTCTCTATCCCATGATGGAATGCGGCTAAAATACAGGTCCTTATTCGGGGCGTATTCGAGAGTTTCTCTTGCTTTTCTTCCAAAGCACTCCCAATCCTCAGCCCATTACTGAACAATGTTCCACACCCACTTCATTTTGGCGCTTGCCTTCAAGTCCTCGAGGATAAGATTCGTGAAAAAATGTGTGGCGCAATGTGGCTCAGGGGGGGGGGGGGCAGTCACCGCGCGCGGCTCAGCGATGTAGTGTAACTCGAACATTCCAGCTTCTCACGCATGTCAAGTGACTGCCCTCACCCCCACCCCCTGAATTGGCTACATTCCCCCTGGCTCACGAATTTCCTGTTGCCGCAACGCCGCGCGCGGCGGCTGGCCCCCTCCGAGCCACATTGCGCCAAATGTGTCTTACATAGTAACCATGACCACTCTAGAATGCTACATCAACAGTAATTTTAAACTAGTTTTATTAGCGGCTTACGTCAATTAACTGGAGACCACTATTTTCCAGACCTTTTCTTTATCTCCTTTCAAAGACGTCAAGGCAGCTAGTGCTAGCTATTTTTTTGTACATCATCCATAGTGTGTGATTTCCATTTTTCCAACCTGAAATGTGGTGTTTTTAGCACCGTACGCATACGTGAGTGCGCTAGTCGAGTTCGTCGCAAAAGATGAAAACGGAACGTTTACCTTCGAGGTGAAACTACGATGTTTCCAAACAACCATTACCGTTTAACTCTGTTGATTAATGACTACTGATCAGAGCAAGGTTCTGGGACTTGTGTTAAATTGAGCAATTACAGGCGTTTGCTGACTTTGACAACGAAGACATCGAAGAAGCGCAGAGAACTGAAGTTGAGTTCTCTTTGGCCCAGAGAACTGTCCTTGTCTTAACTTCGAGGTACTTTTTGATTGCTCGTCAACTACTCCTGTTGTTGTAGTCGCACACCATTGATTTCGTTTACCACATGTTCTTTCTGCAGTCTTGAAGGCTAAGAGCTGCACCTCCGCAAAAAGGAGAGGAACCGATGCCGTGCGGCTAAATTCGCGACGGCGTCATCGCCAATCTTGGTAAAGCCGCGTTCATAGTTCGCGACTCGGGAGATTAGGATAGTAGGCGACAGGATATTAGGATAGTAGTAGAGTAGGAGATTGCGCTGACAAGATTGGATACGTATCGATTGAAATCGCTGGAGAGTAGTAGATTGGGCGACTTCAAGCGAATAGATCAATACATATCTAATCTTGTCAGCGCACTATCCTAATCTACTACTATCCTAATCTCCTACTCTACTACTATCCTACTATCGTAATATCGCAATCTACTACTCTCCCAGCGATTTCAATCGATACGTATCTAATCTTGTCAGCACAATCTCCTACTCTACTACTATCCTAATCTACTACTATCCCAATCTCTCCGTCAATACATATGTTTTTCATTGTCGCGTACTATCCTAATCTCTCGGAGTCGCGAACTATGAACGCGGCCTAACTATCGCTATCACTGTGACGTTTCTCCTCTTCATAATTTCGCGCTGGGCAGGTATCGCATACGGATATCCCAGCATGCGTTCAGTGGATCGTAAATATATTGCATATAAATATTATGTGTATGCTATGAGGCCTTATGTCGTAGTTAAAATGAGCGAGTGCTACAATTTACGTTGAGGGCTAGCCTCAGAATAAGCTTGATGTGTAGGAGCGAGATACAGAGATAACGAAGATGGTAATAAAGTTAAAGATACACAGCTGAATGTAAAAAAGAAAGGGGAAGAAGGGCTTGAAGGTAAGGTCGGTCATGGTACGATGAAGATTTGGAGCGAGCAGGAAAGACAGAAAAGGAGAGAGAGATGAGGAGGCGTGAAGAGCCAGGGGTGTCCCTCAAGAGCCCGCGGCGAAGGAAGAGACGCAGATGCGGCAGGGGACGAGGTGCAGCCGTATACGTAACGTTAGACCGTCAGGTCAAATGGGTGACCCACATACCACTCTCATATCGACAGCATGCGCGCGACCGTCCTATTGCCCATCTGCTCTCTTACTCGCCAGCGCGGGTCCCTTGGACACTTCGAAGTAGCTAGCCTATCAATTACGATTTTCGGACAGCAGAGCGTAATGATAATAAGCGCTCATTTTCTTCACCAACGCCAGACAGTATGTGATTATTGTATGGAGCAATCAGGAAAACAAAGAACTTTATATCCCGTCCCCTTTTTCACTCGCCCCTCTGCTTGATTCTTCGAGGGGGACCACGCCGGCGCAAACTTGGGGTGTGCTAGGGGACAGCAATACGAACAGATGCGCAGGATTCTCGCACAAGCCTACGATCAGCGTGGGATGGTTCCAAGAAGTGAACCACCTCGATAGTAGAAGTTATTTCAAGTTTGAACGTAGGATCGCTACGTGAGAGGACTCAACAGCTCTATGCTCTGAGCAGGGAGCTGGAATTGGTAACACTGAAGTAAAGTGTACTGGAAAAAAGCCAATGCCAGAAGATTTGGGAAAGATCAAAACCAGGGTGTCCCCGAAATTTTAGCTCCAAAATTCTGAAACTTCATCAAACAAAAGTTGTCGATAACTCCTTTATTATTCCCGTAATCTGCCCTGATATCGGGGTGAATCTCTACTATGAAAGAACTCAAGTAATCCTAAAAGTGGTTTGGCTAGCGCCATGAGAGAAACCATCTTTTTCAATCCATTGCACCCACCCAGTTAGTCATTGACCTGAATGTCAGGACCTGCTGAGTCCCGCAATCCTGGTTTTGAGTTCTTAAAACAGCAATAAAGAAAGAAATGACGAAAGAGATATCTGCGCTAACGTAGAAAAAACGATCTTCGGCATTGCATTCTTGGCAATGAAGGACACTCAGAATTTGACAGTTTTCAATTATTGCACATGATGCCAGCTAACTGATGTACAGATTCACTTAGCATACTTCGTTTGAAAGCTTAAAACATCGCTGTATATAGACGCCCCTGATTTTGGGACCCTGTAATTTTACCGCGTACCAAGATGAGAACGGCCAAATCGTAACGGATCCACCATGAATTCGCCACCCTGCTGAACGGTAGATAATCTCATCGCCTAGGACATGAAATCAACGGCGGAGAAGAGCTGGGTAATACTGCCCGTGCTTGCTGCTCGAGGGACGCCCGAAGCCGCGTACTCAGCATTGAAAAAGCAAAAAGTAAATAAATCATAGCTCCGCACGTCAGGGATTATCCGCGTACCATCCGGGTATACAAGCCACGGCAACCATTACGTGCAGTTCTCGTAATAAATTTCGACTCCTCACTGTAGGGTTAGGTATGGCGGCTAGCGGTGTATGTGACAAGTGGCACGCACCACGCGAGCCGTCCGGGGAATCAATCCTGTCGTGAGCGCCTGCCGACTGAGCTCCCCGTTTTGTATTTATCCCTCCCGGTTCGTTAATTGGTACCAGACTTGTCTGGGAGGATAAAAACACTGACTTGTACATCGGCTGGCCCCCGCAAGTCATTGTATAGGCCACATCGCATTCAAACGCCACTACGAATGTACAAATGGAAGTAGAATGCGTGCCGCATCCCAAAAAGGGATTGATCAACGGCAAATGCTTTATACCTTTTATTTCCTTTAGGTTTCTCGATCGATCTCTCCATCACCATCAGTCTTAAAAGGCTTTCCTAACACAACTCTCCCCTCCTTACCGCGCGACCGCCACCCTCACCATACATCATGTTGCTTTTAATGCATTGAATTCTGAGATCCCACTCATCGACAGAGCCCAACTCGCCCCTGTGCCCCAGAGCACGCGTTTCATACCTTCCGTAAGCATATACACCGCTTTAAGTGGACGGGGGACAATACGCACATTGCTGCCACGCATCATCGCTTTGAAACTGTCATGCCACACTCACTAGTGGGGACAACCTCTGCTAGTACTTTACATTTAATACACAAATTAAGTATTATTGGATTTTACGGAACGGAAGGTATTCGGTCTAAACGAGGTTCGCTCGCTAAAGATGTTATGAAAGCATAAGAACGAACGACCTTCATGAGAGTCGAATTGAAGACGAGCGAAGGCAAAGGCGACCGGTCAGCATGATTGCATCATGCTAAACTGAGTATTACTTTCGCGAGCTACTTGAAGGCGACAGACGGCCAGGAGTCCGCGCCATTACAGTCGCGCTCATCAGTCAGTCACTGTCACGCTGTGGGTGCTAACTTAGTTGGGGGCACGCGGCGGCGCGGCAGTCTGCTCGCCTGGCATGTTCGGAAATCCGTGGGCCAGGGGGAGTGTAGGCAGTCTAGGGGGTGGGGGTGGGCAGTCACTTGACATGCGTGAAAAGCTGGAATGTTCGAGTTTACACTGTCTCGCTCGAGAGAGCCCAGGTGAGCAGACTGCCGCGCCGCCGCGTGCCCCCCCCCCAACTAAGTTAGCACCCGCTTTCGATCATTCATTCCGCCTGCAGCCTAAAAGCATCTTTGCTCGAGGTCGTGCGCAAGTCACGAAAATCTTCAGCTTTTTGCAAATTATCCTATATTACGACTCTCCCATTATTTGCCTTTTTTTCTTTCTATGTAGGATATATCGATCTTGCTATATGTTTTCTAAGCAAATGGTGAGGCAGCAGTCACAATCAAACGACAGGCGTCATGCATTGGTTGAAGCAGGCTCGCTTATTCGTATTTTTCAGCCCCTATTGTCATGCTATGCTTTTTATGCCCACTTCGACCACTGTAAGTGGAGAAATCATTCGAATTGAGTAGGTTTAGTCAGTTTTCTATATTTGTCCTTTCTTTTTGTATACTGACACTGGAGCGCATTAGTGCGGTATGCGAATAGCAGCTTGAGTAGCTTAGAAGACCGCAGCTTCGAGTGATTTATGAGTCTTTCAAATTTTGGGTTGGATCATGGAAAATTCTTACAGAAGTTGCTCAAAATTACAGAAAGGCTGAGTAATGCTCACCCATCATACAGCAGTGACGTCATGCGGCATGCAAAACTGCAAACCAAGTTTGGTCAAATGCTACCTAAAGAAGAAAGCGCTCGCACTGGCTCGGAGGCCGGCAGGAACTGAGCGGATCTGGTGGAAAGGGGTCAGGCAGGCGATGACATAGCGGACGTCACGAATGAGCGTAATAGCTTGGGTTTAGGATTCAACTTCGCCTTAAGAAGATGCGGCTGCTTGGTAGGAAATGCACTCATGTTAGGAATGAGTATGAATTGAAATGGAATTTAGTGAATATAAAATTGAATAAAATTCAAATGAAATGTTGCTGGGAATGAAAACAGTACGATAACGATGATGCTTTCACATCGAGCATGGTGTTATTTTCATCCTTTACTGCCCCCAGCTTGCAAGGGGCGGGGGCTGGAGCTGGGGAGGAGGGTATTGGCGAGTTAGGTCCTGGCGTCTTATCAAGCATCGATACAACCCTCTGCTGCAAAGTGGCCACCTAGACACTTTTCGAGGAAATCCCTACATTGTTCACTGTGCGTCTCCTTTCGCTTGTGATGCGTTTCTGCTGAAAATGCGTGATCATGGAAGTTCTGGGAAACACGTCAAACAACGTTTTCTTCCATCTAAGATTCGATTTCCAAACTCTACATGGAAAAATATTATTCCGTCGTATGGAGCCTTAGCTCGATCAGGAAACAATGAAGCGCGTTCAGAGTTATTTTTAGCTCCATACCCTGCAGTATCCTTGAAGAGTTCATTAGTGAAGACGCGCTTCTTGGAACGAAAAAAAACTTAGGCCTTCAACA